ATATATATATATATATATATATATATATATATATATATATATATCGATTTGGAGGATGAACGTACGTGACGGGTGCGCGAGCGCGTGTAATTGTGAGACGAGTAACGAGCTACGACAGTCGGAAGCTCGGGCTCAATCCCGCGAACGCACACACATACACATGCACTGGTTAGGATCGATTTTTTGACGCGCAAGCGATTGTATACGGGTATAGTGCCATTGATCTAATGGCTGGCGACCTCCTTGGGTTCGGCGAAAATCAGTTTGATTCAATAGGAGCGGAGTAGATTGTGGATTATTCGAGGAGCTCGCGGATTTTAGTCGATATTTCTTCCCTGGATTATTGAAAGGCAAATCTTTTATGTGGGTTATTAGAATTATTTAAGAATTAGTTGCGATTGAGATTGGCAAAGAATCCGATGGCTTAGTTGCAAGCAGACTTTTATTACCTTAGAGAGAGAGAGAGAGAGAGAGAGAGAGAGAGAGAGAGAGAGAGAGAGTGCGGTGTGGCTTGTCAACAAATATTTCAAATGTTCTCGCAACTACTCATAATATTTAAGCCCATTTATTAAAATTTTATTGTCTGTTACTTTTGAAAATATAAATCACATCGTGAGTATTACGAGAAGGTTTATGGTCTGGATGGTTGTGATCTTTTAAACGTCGTTAAAATATCTAAATCATTGGTTATTGCATTTAAAATATTAATAGTAATGCCAAGACAATTTCAAACTTACGAATGCTTATTTTTTTCACAGATTTATATATGAGCGATTATTAAGTTGATAACCGTTAGTTATCCAAAATGGTATTTCATGATTTTTTTCAAAGCATTGTTTGTGAACAAGAAAAAAAGCAAAAATAAAAAGACAAGAATAAAGAATTCCGATGTAAATGACTAATAAAAATGTAGTTGAAATAATAACGCGTACAAATGATTGGAAATTGGCGTTGCCTGTATTACGTAAAATCATTTTTATTCACTATAACGGAGCAACAACACATCTTTGTAAAGTCTATGATAACTTTTCTTGCCTCGCATACTTACATGAAATGTAAGAATTCCGGAATAGACGGGACTACTTCCAAGGGTATTTGTAGCGAATTTTCACGTTGCCGAGTCATCGAATAGAAATAAGCGCATGACTAGTAAAACGAGGTTGTTGCACACCATACGAGCAATTGAATTATCGTGTTCATTTCTTTCTGATATCTTTATTAAACCTTATCACTGGTGATCTTTGAGAATATCTTCATCAAATTAAATGTCTTTGGTCCACATTTTTATCAAATACCTATTAATTGCGTAATTAACGAATGCAATTAAAATGTAAAAGCTCGAGGATTCGTCTCGGACTATTTCGGGTTGTAATTATTTATTTAAAATGTAAAATTTATGATTACTCGATTAATGGATAAGAGTTGTGTAAGAAATTTTATTTTTAATTTCTTAATACATTGGCCGTTACGCGACTGAAATTTATGAAAATAAATCGTTTAATATTAATTAATATACGACCAATATAGCACGTGGCATATTAATTTTTTTTTATTTATTTATTTTTTTCTTTTAAACGTATATATATATCTACACATTTAAATTGCACCGCATCATTTTAATTATCTTGTATCATTAGGTCTTTGATAAAAATAGAAACTATTTCGAAACCATTTTTAGATCAAAAGCAAATTATTTTGACGTAAACCAGTAAGAAATAGCTTGTTACTGGTCTAAAAATCATTCCACCTAAAAAAACAAAAATAAAAGAAAAATACGTTTTTTACCAGGATTATGGTTTGAAAGTAGCGTTTCTCAACAAAATTTTTTTAACATAGATATCCTGTGTGTTGCATTTAGAGACTTTAGAAACGTAAAACGTTCCCTAATAAACTCTAAATTTGATATGTGGGGGCTAGAATAAATTTAACCTTATTTCATATTATTATAATTATTATATAAGGTGCATGCTATTATATCGATGGATAATTTTTTTTTTCTTTTTTGTTGTAATTTATACATTTGCACAAATCGATAAGATTTTTGTGACGGGCTCATTTCCGAGATAGCGTTATTAAAAATATGACGGTTTCATCGATTGACGTCTAATTGATTAGTATATACACCTCCGAATTTGCCTTGAAGCGACAGTAATTTATATGTATACTAATACATATAATACAAATTCTATGAATTACAGCTAAATAATTGCAAGTCAAAAAAATCCATTAGTATGTTGGATCTTTTTTTCTTATCTAAAAGTTTTAATTATTGGATTGCTATTTTTCATGCGTATAATTATAAATAAATAAATAAAAAAAAAAAATTATATATATATATATATATAATTGAATAAATATTACGAAATACAAGGATGCATATTTTGTTGCTTCGAGACCATTTTTGTTGTCACATTTTAATGATTTTTCAAGTGTCAGACTCGAGTTGCTATGTAAAAATCCCATTCTCGTGCAATGAAGAAAAATGATGCCCCAACGGACGCGAACATACCAAACGACTAAAAACAATAAAAGCACAAAAAAGTACAATAAAGATTATCCGTCCTGCCTGACAATTATCGCGACTAAGGTACTAACGTTGGTGTTAGATAATCGTGTGTCGTGTGCCGTGTGCCGACAAGTATTTTTCATGCAGTACCTACACGTTTGTCGTTGGTTTGCTGTTTCTTGGTTGATTTTTTTTTCTTTTTTTTCTGTTATTTGGCGACTTCGGACTTCTTTGATTGTTTTTTATTCGCCTATCACAGTTTTTGTTGTTGTTGTTTATATTATTATTATTTTCTTTTTGTAATAATTTTTTTGTTCTTTTCAAAACATTCTAGAGCGTCAAATCATAAAGCCCGATTTCACGAGAAGCTTATCTTGTCTCATTGCGCTTTCGCATAGTCACTGGCATTTTGTATCCCGTCCTCATCCCCGCACACTTTTGTCTATCTTTAGAAATTCCAACTGAAAATAATGTCACTAGAGAATTTTGCTTGGACAAACTTAAACTCCAATGTTAGCGAGAAATTTATATAATATAATAATTTCAGTCGATAATATTGTAAAGCTAAATTTATCAAACATGGAATGTTTTTCAAAATAAACATTATTTCGAATTGAGCACTAACAATTATTTACAGTTTTGAGAATGATCGAAGATAATCGATAGATTTATTTGTTAAATGATCGTATATTCGTATTATCAAATTTTTTTTTATATTCTCCCCCCCCCCCCGCATGTTTAATTGTTCATATTTTCTTCTATAAATCGTAACGTTTATTTTGTAATTTTAAATCATAACATTTTACTGTAAAAAATAAAAATTTATTTCATTTATAATTATTCGTGAGTAATTATATTAATACTGCCATTTAGAAACAGTTTTAGTAGAAATTTGTTCGATTGAAGACCATGGCGATCATCTCGTTTTAGCGTAAATTTATTATTATGACTGCTGTGTAATGTAATTGGTAATCGACATTGTCGATAATATTTGATTAGATCCATTAATAGTGTGGATTTTAGTTAACGTTCTAATTAAAGAATTATCCATTTGAACAAATATGTGTAAATAATTAAATAAAATGGAATACGCGATTCAATGTTTTATTCTTATCATGTAAGCATTTGATCATAATTTATACTTTCGATCGTTTAATGTTCAATTTATATCGATATAATCATTACAATTTCAAAGTATTGCTAATTAAACGAAAAAAAAGAAAAAAAATATTATAACGTTACATGCATTCAGATACTTATTCAATTTTCAATAGATCCGAGACATTTATTAATCGATTGAACATTGCAAGGTACCGTTCGACTTAATTGTAGCATTTATAGCAACGTGCCGCCACACCACATAAAATTAATAAATAAAATACAATGTTAATAAAAAAATATTGTTGAAAAATAATTAATTGCATACGTTCATTTAACGATCTATGATAGTTATGTATCAGATATAAAATATTTTAATTATTTTTTTCAATCATTAAAATAGAATTGGGTATCGGTAACGCCGATTAATTTATTCATTCAAAGTATCTCGTAAATAAACCTAATACCACCATTTCATCATCCCATCCATAGGCGTAAAATAAAAAGACAAAGTGAGAGAGAATGAATAAATGACAATGAAACTGGGCTATGGATTGGCGCTCTTTGCAACGCTCTTTCACTAAAATTGTTATGCTCTTTAAATTGTTTAATCTGGATATTAAGCTCGTATTATTATCGTGACTTTGCTCTGTCCCGCAAGAAAATTTTTTATTCTTACACGAAGCGGATTTTCTTCCTTAAAATAAAATAAATCCTAAATCGCGCGAACGCTCATCTACCGGTTAGACGTTTCTCCTTTCAGTACAACAAGCAACGAGCAGCGTACATTTCTCCAGCAATGAATTACAAAATCAAATAAAGCAAATAACCGCCATAACCCGTTGGTGGCTACCTCGAATTGGATTATTAAACTATAATATCCACTCAAAAGAGCATTAATAATGTCCAGGTATTTACCAAACAATTCAAAGAGTGCCGACACACGCGTCGTTACACCGCTGATAAAAACCAACCAACCAACCAACCAACCAACCAACCAACCAACCAACCAACCAACCAACCAACCAACCAACCAACCAACCAACCAACCAACCAACCAACCAACCAACCAACCAACCAACCAACCAACCAACCAACCAACCAACCAACCAACCAACCAACCAACCAACCAACCAACCAACCAACCAACCAACCAACCAACCAACCAACCATTCAATCAACCAATCAACCAATCATCCAATCAACAAACATACAAACAAACAAATAAACAAATAAACATATAAACATATAAACAAACAATTCTATCAACCAACCAACTGTTAAAATGTGCATTGCAGAGTGCCGCCCGGTTACGTCTACCAGTCTCCTTACTTAGCGGCGGCGGCACCCGGGGGTCTGGTGCCTCTGCCCGCGACGCAGCTTAGCCACGCCGCTGCCGTTGCCGCGGCCTCCCAATTCTACGAGTACCAGAACGCGGCCGCGGCGGCCGCCACCTACCCGGCGACGTCCTACAACTTCGCCGAGGCTTATCCATACACGAGCGCAGCAGCTGCCGGTATGTCCCTCAAAATCGCGGCGAAAGCGCCGGAGCAAGCGCAGCTCGTTAATCACGGCGCCCACTTGAGGCTCGCCCAGCATCAGCAGCAGCAGCAGCAGCATCAACACCAACATCGACACCAGCACCAGCACCACCACCATCATCAGCAACAGCAACAGACTAACGGCAGCCCGACGGCGCTGCTGATGCATCATCGCCTGGAGAAGGCGCTGCTGCCGCAGTTTCTGCCTTCGGTGCTGCGCGGCAATGGTAGCCTAATAACAAACGAAAAAGAAACAAAAAAAGCAAAGAAAGAAGAGAAATGAAAGCAAAAGCTGAAATTATGACAAGATATGAAAGAGCGAGCTCTAGCTTCAGTAGAGAGAGAGAGAGAGAGAGAGAGAGAGAGAGGCACGGGGCGCGAGTTACTATCGCCGTTCGACGACGACGACTCGTGCGCGAGGACTATCCAAACTTTCTCTTCTGCCTTGTCCTCTTGTTTATTTTCTTGCGCGTTCGAGTCGGCCACGTGACACTTTCTCAAACTTCGCCGGCTAGGAGGAGACGAACGACGGCTCCCAACATGTTTGTCGCGATAAGCTCATCCGGGAAATTAATTACAGGCACCGTAGAACCTACTCATTGCACGGTTTTTCCCTAATTCACGGATGAATTTTTTTAATTGGAGTAATTGCATAGTGCGAGCGGCCGTAAGGTGTAGCTATTCGATTAAATATTACATGGACATTCGCGTTGTTTTGGCCCATTAATTTGACGTAATACGTAATAATTGAGCAAATGCTTTTACTTATTTAAGTTCGCGTAAAGACCAAAGTGCCACGTGGTGTGCTCGAACGTCGGTAATGGGTTTTAACATTTTTCACGTTATTTACAAATTTCTTCATTATTCACTTAATTTAACATCGAATCTTTCACTATACTATCTTTTTTCTCACGATAACGATATTCTTAGGAGAAATTTATAATGTTGATTGAAGGGAGAGAGAATCATTTGGTAGTAAAGTAAGATTTATGTGATATTGGCTCGAATAATGCTAGTAACAATATTAATTATTTCTAAAAAAACAAAAAAGTAAATGCTGTAAAATATGAAATTACAATTTTTTTTTTACGAATTTATTTTGCGATTTACGAGTATACAAGGCTCGTTAATTTCAAAAATTAATATTACGCGACTAAGTAATAAGTGTCCTGTAAAATTGACAAAAATTAATTCCATCTCTTGCCGAAATAATGTGTTTAAGAATGCAAAATCGGTATAATCCGTGGATTATTACTTGTGGCTTTTTTATATCGGCGGAGAGGCGCGTGTAATTGTGCTCAAAGTTTGTTTGTAGGTTTGTTTGTTTGTTTGTTTTTTTTTTTTTTTTTTTTTTTTTAAAGGTTTCTCATTATTGAAATATTTATATTAATTTTTATAATAAATAGTAGTATAGTAGGTAAATATATTCATTCTACGCGTCTTAATTAGTATATTTTGAATTTTTTTTTTTTTGTTTGTTTTTTTTGTTTAATTTATTACAGACAATTTCGTCAAAATTACATTTAATAACAAAGGTAATAAACAGTTCTATTACAATATGTTTTGTATAGTAATTTTCTCATTTCACGATTCGGCAAAATACTAGTTCTGTAATCAGTAAAGTAGGAATAAAATGTTAATACTACCTAATTTAAAATATTCAGTTGAATATAAACAAATATAGGTAATTAATGATAAATGAGTACTGTTATAATGAATAATTAAAAATTTGTATTTAACGAAAAAATCTAATTAAATATCATTTATATATCGCGTTATATGCGTACGAAATCTTATACGTGTAATTTTATAAAGAAAATATTAATTTTTTTTCACTTTAATCACATTAATATAATAATTGTTGTATTTCCCTCTAAGAAATATATAATTGTCAATAATAATGATTTTGCTAGGGAACAAGTTGCAACATTTTATTAAGCGAATGAAAATAAATGTCTACATATGTACGTGTATGTGTGATAGCGTAGAAAGCTTCGGTATGTGTTAAAGAAGTCTTTTACAAAGTATTTCTTACACGCACGGATTTTCAAGTGCTTATTTATTGAAATAGTATAATTGATAATTATCCATATAGTTTAATTAATTGGACTTTATTTAAGTAAGAATCAATTTCCAGTAGATAAATTCAAGGTTGTATTTTACAACAATATTTTGCATGCACATTTGCACGGCGACTAAGTAATGTATCGTAATTGTATATTTGAAGCGCATGGCATTATTTTTGTACATTTGATCAATATTCACATTAATATTATTTTGTAATTACTTTTGTTTAACAAAATTTTTATTTTATTGCGTTTTGGAAAAATGCATTGTACACGTGCTTCTCTATTTATTGTTTATTGAGACTGTTTAATTGACAGTAGTGACTCGTTAAAGAAAATTTGTAAATTTCAATGGTAAAATCAGTATGAGAAACTAAAAGAAATTTTTTCATGAAAAATCTCGTCTCTCCCCCTTCGCATTTGTAATTTTTTCGCATAATCGTATTAATTTTCCATAAGACTATGTGCTTAATTCATGAAATCTGAAGTTACGCTTAATTAATCTTCCGTAGTATTAACTGAAATAATACGCAAATCTAAGAAACGCGCGCACGCAAGAATAATTTGGTTTGGATACGCGGGAGAAAAATGTCCTTTTCTTTATAGCAATCGGATAGAATTAGTAGCGATCAGTGAAAATAAGTTTTCGCGCGGAGTATAAATAATATAAGATAAAATATTAAATAAGCGAGAGTCCGTCAGAAGGAGGCAAAGTGGCTCAGTCGTGTGCATGTTCTCGCACATCTTTACGAGGCTGGGAGCAAAACGATAAAGCACCGATCAAAATCAGTGCAATTTTTTCCTCTCGGCATCTTGTCTGGCATCTGTTGTTGTTGTTGTTGTTGTTGTTGTGGTGGTGGTAGCGGTAAAAGGAATCTGTCTGCAATATAAAGCTCTCCGCGGGCACACTGTATTATTTATGCTGTAAAATAAGCTGCGATCCGGTCTTAACGTACTCAAATCGTGTTTAATGCTTAGCGACGCATCTTCCATCTTTCAATTGGTATGATTAAAATCGAAAGCACTGACTCAAACATTGGAAGAGTGAGTGCGTTGCGCCATTGATTTTATTCATTTATATGTTAATTTTATGTAAATTTGTATTGACGATTCGAATGTCAAGTCGATTATCGTGCTTGTTATCTTGACGACAATACATTGTAATAATGTCGCGTTAAGACCGGATATGTGATGATTGGCGAAGAGAGGGAGAGAGAGTACGAGAGGCTTTTTTTTTTTTTTCACGAGTAAGAGAAATGGAGAAATAAGGAGTTAAAATCGTGATCTTATCACACGTTTGCTTTACTTATTACTTACGTACTTTACATGCACGTATATGCGTGCAATCATGCACGCTCACATGCATGCATATACGTCTCTATTTGCGCGTGAGTGAGCAATTTCGCGGTATTGTTAAACGGTTGCACGAGCGCATGTACGCATATATGTATGCACATATACCTATGTACGTATGATGAATATGTAGGTATTGATTTTTCGTTGTAGATTAATTATTTTTTTTTTCTCACTTTCTCACTCGTGACGCTGTATATTATGCTAATGGTATTGTTGTAATTCTCCATTATTGGCATTCGTAGCTTTAATTTCTCTATATACATCAGTAGCAATTGATTCTTTTTCAAATTTCACATATTAAAATGAACAATTATTTCGTGCTCTCTAATCCTCTCATTATTTTTAATGTTATTGAACTTTTTTATTTTTAACGAAGCGAGGGTGACGATTTTATCGGTACAAAATACATGATAATACAGTTCTATTGAAATCGGGGCAATAAAATTGTTAAATTAGTAAAAATCACGTTAATGTCAATAATTTTGAAGAAAAGAATCTTATTGTTTAAATGTTATGTGTAGATTAGAATGTACTATATTTTATTGAAAAAGAGCCGCAATTAAAACGAACAATACAATTGTATAAATAATTTTGGCCTGTTTTTCGTAAATTATTTATTAAAAAAAAAAAAAAAAAAAAAAAAAAAAAAATTATTGTATTCTTCAATTAGAGCTAATAAGTACAAGTAAAACATCAAGCACGTAGCGATAGAATATAAAAAATTGATCACGTGCATTATATATATATATATATATGTACACACGCATTATTTTTTAATATACATACGATAATTTGAAGCATTTCAAGTTTCAAAAACTTGCATTCTTAAAAAGAAATTGTTCTACTTAATCTATCAAGTGATTGGACAAATCATTTTCTACATGCATTAGTCGAAATTAATAGCGATACTTGAAATAGTTCGGTTAAAAGTCCATCATAAACAATAAAGTTGTAAATTACGAAAGACAATTGCTTGAAATAGACGTTTGAAAATATAAAACCATGTGAATCCAGAGTGAACCGATAATAATTGGATCTAATCCAGAGTGAATCGTAATTGATCTATAAAAATTGCTACTGTCGCTAGTCGGCTGATAAAAATCTTCGTCCAAAGCTTATTTCAAATTATCGTTGGCAAAAATTTTTATGCAATAATAGCACGTACATTGGCGGCATACAATTTCACCCGGCTAATCTATAAAGGTTTTGAAATAAGTCTGCGCGCGGATTTTCCACGGCCTTCTCTCGCAATATACTCAATTACGACGACTTTCTCGTTAAATGCAGGTAAAGCATTACTTTAGAGTAAAATTAATCTCTGGCTTTTTGTTCTTCTTTGCAGCTAATGCGGCGGCAGCGAGTTACGTGACGCCATATACATATGCGACGCTCCCGGGCGCCGGAGGTTTGCCATCCGCGGCGACGGCCGCCGGCGCGGCCTTCCCCGGGCTTCCTTATCAGACGACGCCCCAGGAGGCGAGGCTTCAATAAAGCCGCCCGTCCGACGTCCGCATCCTCGCTGGCTCAGCGAACTTTTTTTTCTTAACATCCGGTGCAACTTAACCAATGTAACCGCGTGGATATGGTAGCTGATTAACATTGGCTCACGGCTTATAAGATGGTGAATGGAATTTGAACGTGAAGTGACGAGACGAAGGGAAGATAGATGAGGAATGTTTCATTGGGAGAGCAGCGGAGTACATCGGAAGAAGCTGGGAGGGGGAGGGGCGGGAATGGGGGGGGGAGAGAAGTTTACTGGCGCAGCGACATTTGCGCCTGAATTGGCGAGGCATCGGGACGACGTCGAGATGAGTGACGATAGATTATTTGTGTATGGATGACGAAAAACCGTCGAGAAATTTAATGCTACATTGTACATTGTATAAATTAATGTTTTAGTGGATGTAGCGAATGTCAGACGCGGGATTTATTTGCAGGTTGTATGCGAGATCGTGGCTAGGAAGACGTCGAATTAAAAAATTTGTCACGTTAGTAAGCCGCCATCTGCATTTGAGGATATTGAATTTTTATGTCAAATTGATTTTCAAACCGCGTCAATCTTCGGAGGAAAATAAATAACCAATTAGTAGATTTGTATATCAAATAAATGTTCTCTGTCGTCGATACAGTTGGCAGTAATATGTAAATGCATTATACTGCGGATAAATTTAATAATTTCATAAAAAAAATTAAGCTAGCTTAAGCGAACATTTGGTTTACGTAACGTCGTTGGCTTTTTGTTTTCGGTGCGTTTTTAATGTCGATTCTTCTAAAGATTGACGATTTAATTGCGAATGAGATGGATTTGCGGCGGTTGGGGAGGGACGGGTAGGGGCGAAAACAAAAATGTTACAAACCAACTTTAAATATCGAAAAAATAATGTTCATTTGCGTGACTCGGTATCGCTTTGTATCCTTGCTTTCTCTCTCGCCCCAATCTGATCTCTATCTTCCTGATCCTTATTTTCTTTTCTTCCCTTCAGTCGGAGCCACAGAGAGAAAAACTGGCACAAAGAAGCACAAACATATTGTAAAATTGCGATTAACCGAGTCGGCAAAATTTGCGAACGTCTCCCAAAGACACTTTTAGATACTATCTCTACTACATTAGGCGCTTAGTCTATTTATACGACGATGAAAAAGAGATAAACAAGATGAGAAAAATAAATAAAAAAATACAAATAGCGATGTAATTTGAACGAATGAAATGGTCCGCCGTGTGAAGACACGAATTGATAGACGGAGAGAGCAGGATGAATGCGCGAGTGAGAGTGCATACGTAGAGAATAAGATAAATCGGAAATAATGTAGTTTTTAATTTTTAAAATATGTTGGAGTAATAGCCGCAGTCTAGACTTTTTATTATTGTTATTTTCCGAATCTCGAGGCTCACAAGAGAGACAATCGTCTGATAAATCTATTCTCTTCTCTTATCGCTAGTTGAGAAGTGACTTCTTTCTGTTCGATGAGAAACAGTGAGCGTGAAGTAGCCTTGGATAATTGAAATACCGCCCCCGATTGTAATTCATTTACTTTGAATATCTTATTTCTAATAGCAAACTATATATTTTTTTTTTTTTTTTATATACAGCTCTATGTAAATATGAACAATACATGGAGTTTTAATAGTGAAGAAAGTATTTTATTTTCTATTTTAAAATTGATAAAATGTCAACAAACAGTTTTATAAGTTATTTAAATAAAATAATATAGAGCAATTACAAATATTCATACTATTTAAAATTTTCAAATATCAAATTGCTTAGCTTTTTTTTCTCTTTTTTTTTTTTTTTAAATAATATACGTATATATATTATTCATTTTAATACAATTTTACATTTCATTTTTTCATAAATGTGTGCGGGTGTGTTTAGTAAGCGACGATATAATCCAAAAAAAAAAAAAAAAAAAAAAAAAAAAAAAAAAAAAAAAAACATCGGTAGCGTATTTTCATATATCTTTTGTTATTTCATTTCTCAATACCAATGGTGTATCGTCCATTCATCGTAACAGGGGACGATCGAAGTTACCTGACGCTTGAGATAATATTGAAGCGATAATGTTGTTTTTTTTTTGTTCTTTTTTTTTTTTTTAATTTATCACTATGCCAGAGACGTGATAGTCAATTAATTGTTGTTGCCTTACCGCTGAAAATGACTGAGCTTATATCTTGACGATGGTATGATATAAGACTAATCGCGGTGCCTTGCCATGGCTTATCAATGAAAAGGGAAACTTCGATAAATGGATGACATACTAGAATCACCGCGTGCCTAGAAAAAATCGTTGGTTGTAGTAAACTAGTCAGTAATATCGAGAGAAAAAAAAATTCATTAAAAAAAAAAACGATAAAAGAGTCAGGTTGGATTAAAGAAGAAAAATAGTATGAAAGAGATTGGAAGGTGTGCGAGGACCGATTGAAGGAAAATACAAATATGAGGCTGTCTAGTCTTAAACTTAGAGGCCTTGACGATCTTGCTCCGTTTTGGTTAGAGCTCGATTCGAAGTCTATACTTGATTGAGTAAAGCGCGATCATGAAACTTGATTATGTAGCATAAATAAACAAAAGCAAAAAATAATTAAAATCGAATAAAGCGATCACGTATGTAGATCGTTTCACGTTTTCGTTCTTATCATAGAATGAACGATGCATAGAGAATTTTTTTTTTTTTTTTTTTATAGCTATTAAGTATTATACACTAGAAGCGAAGGCGCAGCTTCGAAAGATTTAGAAACATTAGGATCATTAAATTAATTTTTCCTATTATTATTAATTATTAATTATTAATTATTAATTAATTATTATTATTATTATTATTATTATTATTATTATTATTATTATTATTATTATGTAATTCTATTATTGCTATTATTCTTATCATTACTATTTTATTATTACCGATTATTTTATTTGTATTGTATTATATTATTGCTATTGACTAATGATAATTATTCTTGTACTTAATAAAGGATTAAAAAAAAAAATATATACACATACACTCACGCGTTCACACACAAATACACGAGAGAGAGAGAGAGAGAGAGAGAGAGAGAGAGAGAGAGCGCAAATGGAGGAAAGAGATGTTCTTCAGCGGATAAATTAAGGCAATCCGCTATCAAGACATTTTTGTTCCGATTGTCCTATAAGCTATTAGGATAAAATAATTATAATATATATATTGCCTGTTATCTACAATCACTATTCACAATATGCAACGAAGCATTAGGTTAAAGAGGAGGAAAAAATATTGAAATATATTGTCTCAGAGAGAATGAAATTTGCCTTTTCTTTTTTCTCACCTTCTCAAACACGAAAATTTCTTAATTGATAAAATTATTTGGTAATGAAATTACAATAACGATTCAGCATTTGACGCGCGAAATCAAACGAAATGGACGGATATAGAGCTATTGAAATTTATCAAGCATTTTTATTCTGAACTAAAGAAATTGTAATAATAAGAAAACAAACTCTTTACGTCATTATTCATCGGATGTGAGCATAATTGGCTGCATTGGGTAATATTTGTATGGAATATGGATCGAATGATAATCGTTTAGACATATCCAACAGCTCTCAATGATAAAATAATACAAGATTTTGATCTTACGAGCTCGGGCGTTTTATTTATTATAGCCAAGGAGGATAAATATTTGGAAGGGCTGGTCTAAAAATACAATGCTCGAGCGCGACGATCGAGAATGACAAAAAGATCATCGATTGCGAACCTCGCGGCGACTCTTCATCTCCCCAGTCTATAAATACAAACTCAATGCTTCTAAAAATGTTAGAAGCGCAGAGGAGTAACTTTATATTTTTGTCCGTTCGTCGCATCTGTGCAGCTCCACTGACTTTTTTGCCTACAGTCGCCAAGGAATGGCACGACGCCTCTCTTTCTTCTTCCGTTCCCGAATCCTTAAAAAAGATTGTACGTAGTCGCCATATAATGCGCGTTATACTTAGCCCGAGTATTGCATTAAAAATGTTAAGCGTGTGGGTAGGTGAATGGTTTGGAGGATGTTAAATTAAAAAAATTTTTATTGAGTTGTGGAAGAGAATTTTTGGATTCGCTTTCTCCATCGATATGGTTAATTTCAGATTTTTACTAGTCTAGTTTATGGGTAAATGAGTATTTTTATCGAAATTTTAAGTGCACTCGTTGAGGCTTTAAGTCCAATGTCCGATGTTTGTGACGAGCTGAAGGAATTTTAAAATTCATAATTACCGCAGATTTATGAGCAAGCATTTCCAATGGATTATCATTAACGAATGAAGGATAAAGTCGCGAAGGACTTTCGTGACTATTAAATTTTATTCGTATTGTAGGATAGGCTGACGAAATTAAATGTTATCTACGCAACGGAGACTGATATTTCCTTGTCGAACTTTGCCATTTCATATTGAAATTCAACATTAAACTCTCACATTTATGCACCAAATTATCACAATGTAATCGTAACTTTGCCATTTCATATTGAAATTCAACATTAAACTCTCACATTTTATCATTAATTAAACTCTCACATTGATTTTTCATTAATTTTTCACAATTTGCCTCTATTCCCATTATTCGTAAATAATTAATTTATTCTCCATTAATATCGGAACTCTTGAGACATCGTTAGATTATTGAAAATTTCTCACGTCAATCTTACATTTATGTCATTTATGTCAAATAACAATGAAGGGAGATTTTGACAGAAAAACAGAAAGAAAAAAAAGAACCTAAACCGATAAAATAATTTTATTGTATTATTAATTGCCAGCTGTACGAAACGTTCGATTGTTTTCAACCTTTTATTCAATATAATTTATATTTAATACAATGCGTAAGCTAGAAATCATTCAAATGTTGCTTTACAAAAGTAGATTTTTTTTCCCCCTCTCATTTTAATTCGATTAACGTTCAAAGTATTTCGAGTAATATTTAATAAAATTAAATATTAATTAACGTTGATAGTGTCGTTGAGTTTCCAAGACCATTCCTAATCATTTGATAATTTTCTACGTTACGAAGTAGTGAGTTCAAATTATCAACTATCAAGTAATATAGAATGAAGATAATATAACGTAGTGTTTAATAATATTTTAATACTATTTTTAGTGTTCGGTACAAGGTCGCGTAAAGTCTTATCCAAACAATAGCGCCGAATTATTTTTAATCTTATTAAAGTTTCATTTTACTTAAGGTACTTGTAATTCGATTATCGAATTTCCTTTTTGAAATGTCTCCAATAAATATGCAATTGTTTCTCTCGATAAAAGCGAATATCGGGTTCCGCGCAATACCCCGGGAAAAGATTTCCCGGGGTACTTTTAATTCAACAAACAATGGCTCATAACCCAATCCCTCTAACCCGCTTATCGTCAACCTTAAATTCTCCAAATGCCTATTAATGATTATTTTAACTGAATTTACTACTACACAAGCCGCTGATAATTTATAGTCTCTGCAAAGTCTCATGAATCGCCGATGGCAAAATTAGATTAAGAGCTGGAGATGTTTATACTTTCCTTAATTATAATTGAAATATCGCATTAAAATATTCTCCGATACAAAGTCTCATCTCCCTCCCGCCACCTTCCACCCGCCCCTCCCCCGACGGCACCGCTTCCATTTCGCGCCGTCCAATCGACCTTGGCAATTGACGACCCAGTCAAATCTGCAGCAATTGAATTCCACGCGGCTGATTATGACACACGAGACAGAGACAGAGCCATTGGCCATTGAAAATTCGCGTCCTGTACTACCGACGTATCCTCTAATTTCGGCCCTTGTCCTCGAGATGGCGACAGAGTGCTCGGACTGTCGGGGCGCGCGGCAACGCTTGAACGACGCGCGTCTGTTGCTCTCGACGAGACTCGTCGCGTCTATAGATGCGAGCGACTGAGAGAGATAGATAAAGAGAGAGAGAGAGAGAGAGAGAGAGAGAGAGAGAGAGAGAGAGTGCGCATATGACGCACTATTCGTCCAGCTAGTTGGCGAGATTATTTGTCTAATCGCTCTCCATCGGAGATAGAGTCGACGGATAGAATCGCCTCGTGCACCGAGTACACGTCCAGTTTCGATCGTCCAGCGGCTCGCAGCGGTCTCGAGCGTCTATAAGCGAGACGAGAGATAGATACGTAGATAGATAGATAGATAGATAGATAGATAGATAGATAGATAGAAATAGATAGATGGATAGATAGATAGAGAGCAAAGAGAG